AACAGCTTGAGGAAGAAAAAACAAAAGAAGCAGAAGATGGGGGGAGGGGGGAAGCGATGCTATTGCAAAGCGGAAATAATACTGGGAGAAGGAGGTCTCAATGAGTGGGAGTCGGTGCAGGTTTGGGAAACAATCCCCGAGCCCCTGAGTCAACACAAGGCCGATTTTACACGAGGGCAGGAGTAGCGTTGGAACTTCATTTTGATAACGGGGTTTATAATTTTTTGCTCTTTTTATAGCATCAGGGAAGCAAACTGCCTTTTTACCAGTTAGAAAATGTTTGAATCTAGTTGAACCAGGGAATGCAGAATGAGCAATACGTAGCTTGAATTACCTGTAAAAGTCGATTTTTTTTAAAAGACAAATCGTGTTTGAAAGCGATTTCAAATGGACTGATCATCGGTTTCAGCAGTCACTGTCGGGCTTTTCTGAGTAAGGAGGTCCTGTTCTTACTATCTCAAACCTGGGCATCGAACAATCAACGTGGGAGTGTGGCCGTGGGTGAAGTGATGGACAGGCACCAAAGCGATTCTCTCGTCTGTCCTCGCTCGGGGTGTGCGGCACAGTGGGGCGAGTGATGTGGGCGCAATGGGTGCAACAGCTGTACAGACAATCAGTAATACACAGTTCTGGAAAGAACACATCACTTGTGCTTGTTGGATGAGCTTGTCAGTCACATTCTAATCCCTGTCCCCATCCTGTTTCAATTTTGGGAAACTTGTATCTGCTGGTGACAGCAATTCTGATTCTGAAATAGGATCAGGCTTTTACTACTAACGACAGCCTTCTGTTTCTATTTATTGTGTCGACTCGTGGCTTATGAATAAAGGCAGGCAATGTTTGCAGGCTTCTTTCTGAACCCTTAAGAGCTGTCTTAAGGGCACTTATTATTTTTCTTCCCCTTTTGGAATAATTTTACACTTTTTTCGTAATCTATTTCAGAGTCATATTTAAAACTATTTATTAGTGAAGACAGGACATGAGACAGCAAGGTTACCGAGATGACAATTCTTCAAAGATTAGCAATGATGTGGTTTATACTGTGCCTTAATAGTAATTCTATTTAAAATATTTATTTTTAAGTTTTACTATGCTGCACTCTAAAGAGAGGAACTTTAGATGTGACAATGTAAAATTATGTATTCATCTCATGGCATAAATTATTTAGTAGGTCTAGAATGTAGCATTTTAAATATTAACCTATTCAACGAAAGATGTTGACTTGGATTTATTTAAATTCATATTGCACTGTAATAAGAGAGTACTCTTACATGAACACATTTTAGTTTATTTTAGCTTTTAGGTGCTATTGTTTTTTGTCCCACCCCCACCCCCCCAACCAGGCTGTATTGCTAGTTTCGTGCTCCTGCCCCCTGATTATCGCTCGTTGGAAATCTTTTTTTGGTTTTGTTTTTTTCTTGCTGTTGGGTAGCTTGTTAGTCTAACACTTCTTCTCACGTAGTCTTTAAATGCTGCTTTACATTTTTCTTCTGAAACTGCAATACTTGTGATTTTTATTCTTAAACTAAATTGAATACTATTTTACACTGTATTGGATTTTTATACTTGAACAATTTCATACAAGGGAAGACAGGTTAGCATTTTTATGGACTTTCTCCATCATCACTGGATTTACTTATAAGTATTCCC